GTGGGCTCTGTGGGCCGGCACTCACCTCCTGGCCGGTGACGAGCAGCACGCTGTGCTCCTTGCCGTGCTGCAGCTGCCGGTAGACGTGGTCGAACACCAGCAGCTCGCTCCAGCAGTTCTGCAGCAGCTTCATCTGGTCGCCCACCTGAAACACAGCCAGAGCAGCGCCGCTGACACCCGTCACGCCGGGGCACGGCCGACCACGCGCGACCGCGGGGGCGTCCCAGGTTGTGTCTGCACACGCTTGTTCCTGGCTGGCAGGAGGGAGATGGGCTGCCCGAGTCCTGCAGCACCCCTCCAGCCCCCCAGCTCTGCCTTCAAGGGTCAGGTCCACGCAGTAGCCCTGCGGCACCGATGGCTCAAACTCACCATCGGCTGCTACGGCATGTTGCCATGGGACTTGGGCAGGACTTGCACCCATCTGTGTCTCACCCTGAGCACAACAGAAAGGGCTTTCTAGCAGAACAGCATCAGCGTTAAAAAACCAACATATTTTCGCTGCTCAAGTGCCCCGAAGTAGCCCAGCAACTCCAGTGACTGGTGTCATTACGTGAAGCAGAGAGTGGATGCGTCATTCTGCCACCAGACGGGCCGTGCCTTGGCACAGATACAGCACCAACATGATGTTTTGGAGATGTGACAAACCTCTGCCTCCCCTTAAGGCCCCCAGGAGACCTCATCTGCAGAGAATCACCCAGCCCCAGGTCTGCTTTGTGCACGCGTTCCCTCACCAGCCCGTCGCTGGGAGTGCAGGGGGCATCACCAGCCTCCCTCGGGAATCGGGCTCCTCCAGGTGGGACGAGACTTTGTCCTCCAGGACTTTGTCCTTGACCCGTGCAGCCTGGCAAAGGCCCGTTCAAGCCCTTTCTTAAGAACCTGAACCCCCCCTCCCTTGCAGAACACTTCCCAAAGTCTCACACACGCGTTTGTACGTGGAAATTGCAATCTGACTGTGAACAAACTCCTAGCAAGATGGTGCTGCACTTGATTAATGAAACGTTAATTGCAAAGCCCTGGTCTGGCTCCCAGTTCCTATGTCCAGCCCTGCCACCATGTAACTGGGCTGGACGTTGCGCCCCACTTCATCTCACTGCCAGTATCCCACGCCTCCCCTCCAGCCCTCCCTCCATGGCGGGTGGGAGGAGAGGACAGCAAGACTGATGCCCACAGCACCCGTTAGTGTCTATAGCGAGGGCTGCAACCACCAGCACCCGCAGGCTCAAGCCACAGCACTGACCCTGTGCCTGGCCAATGTCCCGTGGGACACCAGCCCAGCAGCAGGGTGCCCTCGGGCGGGTGGGGAGAGCTGGATCGGCACCCCCAGCAAGGGGCACCCTGGGCTGGAGGAGAGGAGACGGGCTGGGTGGCTGCACAGAGCCGGGTTTGTAGCAGCTCCATGTGTTTCAGCGGTGCTTGCTGGCTCTGGCCAGCACGGGATTTCCCCCAGCAGGCACAACCTCCCCAAACCACACACAAATCTTGAACAAAATGACTGCTGGCCGCCTCCCCGGGTGGGAGGGAACGCGTGGCGGCTGCACAGCCCCTCTGGACAATTTAAAATGAAAGAAGACAGTGCCCGTCCTCACCCCCCTGCCCGGGAGGGCAGCTTAGGGGCAGGAGGGGCAGAGCTGCAGCAGCGCAGCACGGCTGTGGGGGAGCCCACAGAGACGGGGCATCGCTGTGCCCTGCGGCTGCCGGGTCAGCCCCTGCGCACGCACCGACACACGCGTGACCACGGGCACGTTTGCACAAGTGCTGGTGTGTACGTGCAGGGACGGGGATAAGCGCCCACAGCTACGCTTTCAAAGAAATGCCTGCGATGGCCACTGGTGAGAAGCTCAACCCGGGACACGAACTGCAAGGACCTCCAAAGGCCTCGCGGGAAAGCCGGCGGGCTTCAGGCAGCGCCAGCGATGGGCAGGACGAGCTGCCAGAGCCAACGGCCGCGTTTTTGGCAAAACAAAGAGCCCTGCCAGGCCCCTGTGCCCAGAGTCGTGGTGGGACATGAGTGGGAAAGGGCCGGGTGTTACCAGTAATCCTTCCCTGCGGAGCAAATTCAGCGCCAGCAGAAGAGCTCTGCAGTGCCATTGTGCTCGCTGCCTTTAATAGAAGGAAGACAGATGCAGTATCACAGGACTGGATAATACCCTCGTTTTGCTGAAGAGGCTGCAATAAACCAGCGCTGGGAGATTGCAAAAGGAATAGCAGTCAGATGAGGGCCGGGTGTTACCAGTAATCCTTCCCTGCGGAGCAAATTCAGCGCCAGCAGAAGAGCTCTGCAGTGCCATTGTGCTCGCTGCCTTTAATAGAAGGAAGACAGATGCAGTATCACAGGACTGGATAATACCCTCGTTTTGCTGAAGAGGCTGCAATAAACCAGCGCTGGGAGATTGCAAAAGGAATAGCAGTCAGATGAGAAAGAGCTTTATGGTCTCAGAGACCGGCACTCCCCGCGAGTCGCCGGGATTTGTTTCTCAAGTGCGGTGGGTGGCCAGAGCTGGACACGCAGCAGCGCGGGGAGGGAGATGTGACGACGGCTGCTGGAGCTGAGGA